TGCTCGAACATGCACAAATCACTCCAAACACAACTTCGAGAGGGTAAATGAGAAGAGGAAATAACTATAACATGAGTAAAAGCTCTGAAAAGTCAATTTTGCATAATAGGTCCGCTTTAAGTAGTAGCATTAAATGATTGTAATATTTATGTTTCTTGCATCGCTCCTTCAGATATGATTTCGTTTTTCTCATTTTTGTAGCCTATGCTTTAAAAATATGTAACTGTGTGCATTATTTACTGAGTTGGGTTTCCACTTATCAGTATCAAATTATCAGTGAATTACTTTTTTACTATTCCTTGACTAATTTCCTGAGCCGGTAGTTTGTTCCAGTACTTAGGTTGTATTATTTGTACGTAGGATACAGTCAAACATAAGAGTAAATATACTAAATGTTTTATAGTAAGGATTTCGGAGCCGCACTAATCCTGACAACAAGGTGACATTTAAACCAAGGCAAACCCGATCTGACAAGAAACCTAATCTACAGATGGCAGGCGATTCTGTATCTTTCAGTGCAGCCCAAGCGCATCACTCAAAACATGATTCACAAACCACGACCTTCACCGCCTTTGCAATACCAAAAGGAGAAGCGGGTGCGGAATAGGGTTGTCAAAAGTACAGAATATCAAATACTAATCAGTGCTAGAACTAACATCGAATAGGGATGTAACAATAACCGAAATATCGTGATATCGTATCATCAAAGCTCTCACAAAAATATCGTGGACCATCACAATATATCGAATTACAAGTCTCTTTGCCTAAATTAATAGTTATGGTGCAGCTATAGCTAAAAAAGACACAGGAAACTACATAGACCATGATCCTTTGCTCTATTTCACTGTAGACTACAAGAAGAAATAACAGTTTTAAGCACGTTTAAGTCTTAGTTCTTTGGATTAAGTCTTGTCAAAGCTATTATTGTTTTTGTTGTATTATTGGATATTGTTACATCCCTAATCGTGAGCCTCCCCATCATATCGTGAGCTTTCCCACGATATCGCAAGAAATATCTTACCATGAGGTTCTTACCATGAGATTTGGATATTGTTACACCTCTATAGAATCAAAACTAGATACGTATTTGAGCAGGAATTGATACTAAAAACATCACATTCATAGGACTAAAATGAACCTTTCCTCAATCCCTCCAAGCCCTGATGAAGACCAGTTAAAGGTTGTATAGAGGATTTTCCAAGGAATGAGAAATCCAGCAACTGTTTGTCCTTTTTCAAATGTTGCGCATGCGTGAAACCACCCCCCCTCCCCTACAGCTCCTACGTAGAAACGCCTTCTCCCGCCTCCTCGTTACGCCAGAAACAGGTTTGTTTACAGCCGGTGCGCTGCACATGACTTGTAAACAACTAACTACAGTGTTGGTTAGGCAAGGCGGAGAAGTGAGGAGCGGGGGGAGCGGGTGTGCGGACATTTCGTGCGCGGACGAGAAGTAAGGAGCAGGGAGAAGAGCGGAGCAGGGAGCAGGGAGAGGAGAGGAGAGAGGAGAGGGGAGCGGTGCGCGGAGATTCCGTGCCCGGAGAAGTGAGGAGAAGGGGGAAGAGCGGAACGGGCAGCGGGGACAGGAGCAGGAAAGGGGTGCAGAGAAGAGTGCGCGGAGATTCAGTGCGAATGAACTAGCTACAACACGCAGCAGCAAGCGGACTCTTTCTTTGCCTTGAAAATTACGTTTTCAGACATAGGATATCGCTTTCGTGTCCTGAAAAACGTTTGACTAGCTCTTGGAAATAAAGTACGTTTTCATAATAAGCAGAAGTGACCTGTCCAGGAGTAATTTGGCGACCAATGCGTCAGTCTTTAGACCCTGCGTCTGCTTCAGTTGCGCCATCGCTGGAATGAATCTATAAGAATCACCTTAGTTTGGCTTCGCTGCTTTTCCCCTTGTCTTCTTCTTTCAGCGACCTCAAAAACGGACTTTCTTTTGCGGCTAACTGCTCCTAGATTCTTGTCTGCCATTGCAACAAACTTTGTGCTAACTGCGAGGAAGATATAGGTAAAAAAAAGCCGCTAAGAACTGTTGCGTTGGTGGAGTAAACAGCATCTGTGCGGCTTGCGTCTGTGGACTGCGTGACAGGCGTACGTAAACCACGTACCGGCGGCGCGCAGGGAAGTCAGTTACGCTAGAAACGTAGGGAGATTGATTGACAGCCTGTCAGCTAACAGATAACGAGGCAGTGTCGTTATCTATTGGCAAATGTTTAGCTGGCCCCACCACGTCCAGAGTTGATGAATTTTTATTCTCTTTTTTTTGGTCATCATAATTACAAGGCTACTGCATCTCTATAATGCTATCATAGACAATTTGAAACCAAAAAAAATCCTCCATACAACCTTTAAGGTCGAAACATGTTGGCTTTGGCCATTCAAATAAAGGCCTTTTAACTAAATTTTTCCTTGTGTGATTTTTTACTTTTTCTACTTCTTTGGAGTGCCTGGAGTCCGTTGTGTTTTAGCTTTAGAATGCTCTTGAGCTGTATCAGAACAGGTATAAGATCACAGAGAGTAGTATACGCCCAAGCACCACTATGGAACCCACCCAGACGACTGATAAAAGACCACAGGGTAATATTATAAAGTACTACTAATATAATGTTAAAAATTGCCTTCTATTGTCTAAAGCATTGTCGTAAGAGATTTTTTTAGGGTCACCTTATAACGATCTGCATACAGGTCTGCAGGATACATATACAAACGTCTCCGCGCACCACCCCGCCGCTCCTCACTTTTTCGGCAGCACCGGCACCGCCTTGCCTAACCAATTTTATGTGGGAAACACTGATTACTGTTTTTCCTTGGTGAAAACTTGAGAACCGTTAATTTTAATTGTTCAGAGAGACACGATCACTCAGTCAACAATAAAATATCCTCATTAATGTTCAATAATGGTCACAAATTTATTGTGTGATTTACAACTAATGTCTATTGACTTGGGTTGAGAAGATTTGTGACTTTTAAAATATGGGTCCGCAGAAAAAAGTTTGGGAAACACTGGTCTAAAAAAAGAATGTTTTTCATTATCTTCATGGTAACAGAATCGGTATTCCTTAGTATCGAGATCGAGTTTGAAATTTTAATATCATGCCAACACTAGGGGTGGGGAGTGTCTATTTGAGCGTAGAGCTGAATGAAATACACAAATAGTGAATCACAAAATGAAGGTTTGATTTTGATCACCATATCGCCAAGCCCTCCCTTGCAACCTTAGTTCTTCTCCATCCATCACACAAAAAAAACACAGAATGAGGTATAGCTTTTGGCAAGTATCGCGCATCCACTTCATATCACACACTTGTCAAAGCGCTGGAGTTGTCCTGGCAGCACATGGCGTACCAAATACTCTGAAGAATCTCTATGTTCTTTGAGTTCTGTCACCTGTTCCTATATTTCTGCCAAAGGGAAGATAGATGGATGTCTCGCTGGTAGAATATTCTCCGTGGGCTAAGACGCATGGAGCAGCAGGTGTTGTGAGCCTGTCTGGTCAAAACAATATCACAGAACGCAAGCTGCTCGTTTTGAAGAGGATTCTGTGAGAGTGGTGAAAAGAAAGGGAAATTAACCTAGATTCTGGTTTAATCAAGACATTGAGCCACAAAAATCATATAATGACACTTCATATTAGTGTCATAAATTTCAAACTTGATTTCAACATTATGGAATAGACTCGATATGCAATACTGATTCTGACACCGCAATGATAATTAAAACACTCTTTATTTAGACACTAGAATGTAATTTTCAACACTAAAACATAGTACTTTCTTTTATATTACTTTGAGGTCTTATATATATATATGTAAATATGTGTAATCCATCATTCGTCCAGGTTTCATAGTGGTCCTTGGGCGTATACTAGTCTATGTGCTCTTATGCTTCTTCTACTATAAATACAGTCCAAGATCATTCTAAAGATATTCATAATGGTTCATTTCTGTCCTGTGAAGGTTACTCTTATAGTATTGGTACTTGATCTATTTTGATAGTAGTTTTAGTATCAGTTAGTATCTGATTTTCAATACTTTTGACAACCCCACTTCATACGCAAAGCAGTAAAGATGAATAACTAGGTGAGTTTTTTTAGTGGTTTAGCTTCACATAATTAAACAAGTGTATTATAATATTAGTGGAATCATGGTAAGAAAATGTGTAAATTGAAATAAACCAAATTACCTAAACTACAGTATAATATAGTATAGAGCAGGGATCTCCAAGCCTTTTCTTCCAGTGAGCTACCTTTATAAATGAAAATGCCAGTGAGAGACTAGTTTTAGCGGTCACAAGAAATTGAGTAAATAGAAGAGCCTTATGGCCTTAGATGAGGTACAGTTAGATGCCTATAAAACATAAACCATTATCCATAGTAGTGTACAAAGTTGGGTACTAAAATGATACATGCATAATGGTAATAGGCATTTAATTAATTCAATTTTGTTTATTCAGCGCAATACGTCTAATTCAGTAATCCCTCAGTGAGCTACTTGGAAGGGGGTAGAGAGGTTGGAGACCCCTGGTATAGAGGCTGTCATTGTACCTTGTTTACCTTTTCATAATATATGATAATATGATTGGACATGAGGAAAAAATGTATAGCTCATCTTAAAATATTCAAAAAAAGCATATATAGTTTTCTTCAGCAAGGCATTTCACTCACATTGTCAAGTATGTATGTGTGCTTGAGTGATGGTGGTGGACAGAAGGGCCATTTTGAGCTTTGTGCGTGTGTAGACAGACTAATAATAAAGGGTTATTACTCAGTGTGAATGAAACAAAACACAACTCTGGGTCTGTTTTTGAGGAGGTAACGACATTCAAACATGACTTAAAGCTCACAACAGTCAATTTCACGTAATATACAAACCACTGCAAATCAACTACTGTACATGAAATAAACGATGCTAAAGTGCTCTGACCAGATCCAAGCGTTTGGGGAAGGGGGGGTTGATTTTGTTACATTGGAAAAGCTGGAATAGCATTAAGGACCGTACCTGTTTTTCCCTCCAGAGCAGCACTCCCTCCTCTATGAGCTGCTGTTTAAGTCTCAGCCCCTCATCCAACGCCCTCATCTGGCCCTCCACGAACGCCCGCTCCCTCTGCCCCAGATTCCTGGAGAGAAAGAAGGAGAGAGAGTGAGGATGGAGGGGCAAAGAGAGAGGTAAAAAGAGAGAAAAAAAAGTGTGCACATGTGCAAGAGAAAGACAGAAAGAGAAAGCGAAAAAGAGAGTAAGAGAGAGAGAAAAAGAGAGAAAGAGAGAGAGAAAGAGAGAGGGGGGAGAGAACAGGTGAGTTAGGTCGAGAGAGAGAGAGAAAAAGAGAATGAGAGAGCGAGAGAGAGAGAGAATGAGAAAGGGGTGGGATAGAGAAAGGAGAGAAACAGAGAGAAAAAGAGAGAGACAGAGAAAGACAGAGAGAATGAGAGAAGGGGAGAGAGAGCAGGTGAGAGACAGAGAATGAGAAAGGAGTATGATAGAGAAAGAAAGAGAAAGAGAGAGACAGAGAGAAAGGAAGAGAGACATACAGAGAGAGAGAGAAACAGAGAGAGAGAGAGAGAAACAGAGAGAAAGAGAGAGAGACATACAGAGAGAGAGAGAAACAGAGAGAGAGAGAGAAACAGAGAGAAAGAGAGAGAGACAGAGAGAAAGAGAGAGAGATAGAGAGAAAGGGAGAGAGAAACAGAGAAATACAGAGAATGGTGAAAGAGAAAGAAAGGAAGAGAGAGAGTCACAGAGAGAAAGATAGAGAGAGATGGCGAGAGAGAGAAAGAGAGAGAGAACAGATGAGAGAGAGAGAGAGAGAATGAGAAAGGAATGGGATAGAGAAAGGAGAGAGACAGAGAGAGAGAGAGAGAAACCGAGAGAAAGAGAGAGAGAGAGAGAGAGACAAAGAGAAAGAGAGCAGAAGGTGAGAGAAAGAGAGAGATAGAGAGTGGATATGCACTATATTCATTACCAATGGAAAAAAATAACATGAGCCACCTCTGCTATGGCCACAGTGAGATGGCCCAATTCAATATTTAAGGGCCACACATCGTAGCAGAAATCCAAATGGAGGAAAGTGAAGTAAATAAGATGCTGCGTTCCTGGGCTAAATTGTTTTTACAATCTGCCAGAACACAATACGAGTGTGCAGCTTGTGAAAACATAATGAGATATGGTCCGGATGTGGTTTTCAGAGGCGAACAACGAGAATAAAACCGCAGTGTAAAATCAGGAGTTACAATAGTGCAGCCAGATAAGGTTCATGGCATTGTAAAAATGACCAGTGTTCTCATAAATATGGTTACGCATCTGTTCACATACAAAGTAGCAGTGCTGTTGTTTTCTCACAATATAACATCAGAAATTTTTCAAGTATAACAGGACACAAAATAATGAATAATGGTCTAAACAAAGTCATTTTCGTCAATAGCCAGTAATTATTCGTGTGTCTATTTATTTAGTTTTTGAGAAATTCTTGTGTTGTTTGAGGATGGCAAAAAAAAAAATCCAGTTTAGAAGCGACAATTTCTCAAAAACTAAATAAATAAACACTGACCTACTTCTTTTTAAAGGTTTAATGTGGCCATGACATTCAGTTCAATGTATTATCAAATATTTAAATGCTATTTCTTTTTCATTGGGATTACAGCGTTCCCACATTTTTACATCACCTACACAGACTTACACAGGTCCTGGGTAGGAGGATATTTTTTATTCCAGCAAAAATGCACAATCATGTTTTTATTACACCTATTGTTTTGCTCCTCGAGTTCCACCAGCTTCTAACACAATGCCTCATAACCACAGTGACACCATGCCCCCTGGTGGTAAAAAATATGAGTCACCTTCACTCTATTGAGAAAATGAATCTTACCAATCACACTGCTGCTATATTAAGAGTGTGTATCTTTAGACCCAAGTCGTGTTGATGGGAAATCTGTGTCTGTGTGTTATTTTTCAATATTCATTCTCAGTTGTGATGGGACTGACCAGCACGAGTTCTGGCAGCGAGCGGGGCTGTTGTATTCATCTGAGGCGTCGCAGCAATCTGGCTCAGGAACAGCGGAGATGGATCCAACGCACGCACAAGACAAGAGAGAGAGAGAGAGAGAGTACACAAGATATCAGCAACAAGAACACGACAATATGCTTCTGACCATAATGAGTTTTGTCTATTCAAAATCACAGCATGGGAAACAAACAGGGATATGGGTCTGCATTAAAGGGTGTAAGGCAGACAAATCAAATTTAAATAGGTGTTTCAATGTGATTAAATCAGTCAAATCAGTCAATTTTCAACAAGCACAAACAAGCACTTTGTAACAGATGCACAAGCTAGGAAGGACAATCTATGTTTCACAAAACAAAGGAGTGGGAATCGAGCCAGGTGTGCTAAAACCATCAGCTGTTGCATAAGTATCTCTATCTAATGTATACAACATGCAATATGTAATAATAACATTACCATTGTGACATGATATCAACAAGGATCACTAAAAATCAACAGTTTGTTATTAATCATTGAGACACAACAAATACTCAGAACAAAGAAATGCATTTTAATGTGTAAACTGTTATTTAGATCATTAAATTCTTTGATAATAAGTTACATTTCATCTTGTCCCATTTTCTTAACCAACAGCATGAAAAAGAATTTTCTGTCTGGCACAATGTAAAACAAAACATTTGGGGGGTTTCTGAAAGCTCTGACAGTTATTTAAACATCTGTGAGTTGACATCTCCATTGGTAATAAAAGTGGAACAGTGCAGTCTGAGAAAATGTAGGCCAAATACTCAGAATCAGCTTTACAAGAAGAAGCATGGGAGGCTGGGAGATGGAAACAGGGAGGAAGAACCACAAGACTTTAAAACATGTCTCCCTCTGTTCTTTTATGGTTCAGTTCTTGTATGTTTTTTGTACAAAGGCCAGTGACAAAGTGGAGACAACAAGATATTGATTTTGAACCAACTCAAGTACATCTAGAGAACGCATCGAATTAACGGAGACTGGAAGAATATTTGTTGGCTGTGAAGCGGCCTCTTATTGCTCAAATTAAGATCAAGTGAACAACATAATGTTTTTAATTGTATAATTATTATTCATGTTGCATCATATCTCCAAAGCACATTCCTAGTTGGTGAATTTTGCTTACTGACAAAGGCAACAAAACCCTTTTTCTGATTCTGACACTTTAGAATAGAATACACTACAAAGAGGTGCACTTTGCAAATAAATACACTGGCAATTGCTAAGAAATAAAATGTGTTTTATTTCTAGAATAAGAATAAATCTGTCCACTGCTGAGTGACATAAATTTTTCCTTCTTGTCCTTGAAAGACAGTGGAGCGGAAAATCTTCCAACTACTTTGCTTCAAAAAGCTTGAGTAAAGTTCAATAAGGTCCACTTTAGAGAAAATACTATTTAGAAAGCTCACCACAGATGCCATCATTGACTCGTGAGGAGGGAATGTAGTGTGGGCGGAAACCCAGGTTAGTGCAGTAGAAGCGGCCTCGAGGACATGCCGAGGTGCCTGGAGAAATGACGAAAAGGTTAAGGTCACTGTTGTAAGTATGTAAGCAAAACTAGCAAAAGAAAAAAAATATGTGTACAGCCTCTCAAAACTGCAAATAAAGGTGCATTGTGCAACTTTTTACATGGTCATAGTAGTGTTTAGCCTAGAATGCTCCATAGTATGACATTAAACTTCCATCTTGCATTTATTCAATTACGAGTGTTTGCTTGCTTAAAATACAACAGACATTTAATACCATACTGAGGAACTTTCCAGATAAAGCAGGTGGCAGGCCAAATAAGTTGCAAAGACAGTGCACCTTTAAATAGCCAGATTTGATTCACAGTATTTTGTAAGCAAATGTTCTAATTTACATGTTAGAGGCCTACTGGAAAAGACAAAACTACACTAAATGACAGGAGGGATGTTGATCAGTTGACAGTAAAGATTTGTTAACCGCATAAAATAATAACTACACAATATGTTCTTTACAGTAGCTCACCTGGTTCATCAGAGCCGTCCTGGCAGTCACAGTAATCATCGTTCACCTGCTCAAACGGGATCATTTTAGACCCATCTATGCAAAGGAACGACTTCTTCTCTTTGTAGAATCGTTTATCTAGATTTTGGAAAAGCAAAATGAGTTAAACAAAAACATGGAGCCATGTTCAGTGTGAATATCTGCATCTGTGCTGCAGCGATGTTATCACTGGTAAAGCCTGTGATACTGTAAAAGAGCAGGAGTGACAGCAGAAGGACGTGCTCCCATCGCTTCACTCCGATCGCTAGAAATGCATTTAGATAATATTAGTGCACCAGAAATAACTATTGTAATAAATAACATGAGCTATATCGGATTGAGCTAGGTTAGCCGACATCCCGGGACAAACTTACACGAAGATGAAATTCCTCTTATTTTCCGCGAGTCCACCAGATCCGACCAAACTACCGCGGCGACAACAATGTGAAAACGCATGTTAAAGATGAAACGAAGAAAATTGTGCCAGTTTTCAGTCATGACTTTTGAAGTCATGATTTGCCTCGGACATTTAAACCAAACCTCACTGACTTCCTGAAACACGTGGTCCCGTGACACCTCTGCGCGCTCTGATTGGCTGACGGTGAGCACCATGGCACCTTAGCGACCAATGGGATTCATGACACGCGCATAAACTGCTTCATAATATTGTGAGGTTGCACGCTGATTCAGTGTTTTAATTGATAGATAAGTACTCCGGTAAAACATCTTATCTCACTCCAGCTAATGCATATTTAACAACAAAAACAAAAAAACAAAACAAAACGAAAACAGTGAAAGGTGTAGGTTCTCTAAATTTGTGGGACAAGGGGCAGGGGCTTAAATGGCTGCAGGACAACCAAAAAAATGGACAGGCTGCACGCTGATTCAATTTTTTAATATGTAGATAGATAAGTACTCAGCGAAACCACCTTATCTCGCTCCAGCTAATGCATATTTAACAAAAAAAAAGTGAAAGGGTGGAGGTTCTCTAAATTTGTGGGACAAGGGGCAGGCGCCTGAATTGCCGCAGGACAACCAAAAAATGGACAGGACGTGATCAGTGGCTTCTGGACAATCAGACAAGTGAACATAACTCATCTGCATGTGTTTTAACATCACATAGCAAATATCTCTGTCTTGTGTGATTGTGATTTGTATCTATTGTCTTTAATGTATGAGCTGCATGTGCTTTCAGCATGTTCTAATTTTACCAATATGAGTACAGCAATATTCACTGATCTTAAAGTCTTTGTCATGTCTGTGTGATGGACTGAATGTTACTGTACCTATGTCCTGTTTTTTCCCGTGCAGGATAATTTTCATCCGTAGTCTCACTGGCAGGTTGAGACTACGGATGAAAATTATCCTGCACGGCAAGTCTGGCACATTTACAGCTGTACTAACACATGTTGATCAATGTGCACTGTTCCATATTTAACAAATAAACATTAGGTTAAGTTGCTTTATTCGTACTTGTAGGTAAATTTCACAGATTTGAGAGGCAGGTCCCACACATAAACATAAAGTATGTCATTAAAGTGGTATGCTTTATGAGGACTCACTGCTATATTACTTTAAATATAGACCTATAATTTTCAGTTTCTATGAACTTCCCCCCTGTGCATTTTATTTCAGTACTTTGACCACTAAAGTGTCTTAATCACTTAATCATGTTTCACCTAACTGTGAAACATGAATTAATGTGATTAGTTTAATATAATACAACAAGAAATTAAATATTTTACATATTTATTAAAAATAGCAAATCTTTACAAAATTTACAATACAAAATAATCATGTAAAAAATGTTGAAATGTATATATATAGTAGTATTCATTTATCATTTAGTCGCGTGTATAGACCGGTGTTGCATAGTGACTCTTTGCTTTGGAGATAGGACAGGTCTCGGATCATGTTTGGGAATGGGTACGAGTCCAGTGGAGGGCGCAGGGGGAACACGGGCATGAGTCCGGACGTCACGTATGGAGACATAAAGCCCGTCACACCTGCCGCATTAGCGCTTGAGTAAGCTAGCCTGAGGGGGCCCATGCTGAGGCGAGGACCGAGGCCGTACACGCTGTCGCCTCCTGCGGGTGTGGGGGGCATGTGCACTGCAGAGAAGGCCGATTTGTTGCCCACGGCACTGAGAGCTCCAGGCAGTCCCGCAGGAGGTCTCACTGCGCTAAGATCTGGGTCGATTTTGTTCTCTTTAGCGCTCAGGATGAGTTCTATTGATTTGACAATGTCCCCCTTGCAAGTCCGCACTGTCGACTCCAACATGTCGCGTTTCTGGTGAGGGAAGATTTTGGCCATGATGTCGGTGGGGTCCCGCTCAGCAGTCGGTTTGTCAGACTCGTTTCCCGACTCCAAATCAGAGGATGAAGAGCGCCGAGGACTGTCCGAGTGCGGGTCATATCGCGGCGGTGGGCTCGGGCTGTCGTCGCTGAGGGAGGCGCAGTTGTCGTGGTTTGGTGACAGCTCTTTGTCGTGGGGAGATGGGAGTCGAGAGGAGTGAGGGGCAAACATAGGGTGGCCCATGAATCCACTATAAAGGGGAAAAGTGTTCACCTTGGCATCTGAAAAAAGACGCAAGTTTCAGGAATAGAAATTTGGTCTCAACTAAGTAAAACAAATATCAAAATTCACATTAAAGGTGCTCTGTTGAACTTTTTTGGTAGAGAGTCAACCACTTGCCATGTCAACGTTATTGCTTTATCTGAAATGTTCTGCAGTATGGTATTAAACTTCTCTATCTCCATGGAGACAAGCAAGTGGTGATACCAAGCCAAGTTATAGGTCAGATCACAGATAAAAATGCATGTTGTTTAAGTTAACTTCAAGCAATGCAAACTGTAACTGATCAAATGCAAGATATACAAGTTTAATGAGACACGCAGGAAGCAAATTCGCCACCAGAAAAGTTTCACTGTGCACCTTTAAGTCCCACATAGTTCCATGCATAAAGGAGTGGCTACTTAGACTCTCAATATTGCAAATAACTTACCGTCTTTTTGGGGTTCTGCGGCAAAAACTTCAAATCCAGGAGGAGTCTGAGCAGATGGAGAAGGTGTAGAGGGCCCCACTGCGGAGCCCTGAGGTACCCCACTCTCCCCGACGATCCCCGCTCCTCCTGGGTACATCAACCTCAGCTCACGGGCTTCGTTCTCCTCTTGGGCCTGCTGTCGTCGAAGCGCCACCTGCGCAGCCATCACCCTCTGCCTCTCCGCGATCAGGGTACACTTGGCGCACACGCAGTCCCTCCATCGACAAAAACGCTTGTGGCCTTTTAGAGCCGAAACTACGCCGTGGTTCCTACAGCGGGCGCATTTGGGTGTACGCGGGTAGCCCCTTTCCAGAGTGGGGTTACAGGCCCGGAGGAAGAGCGGAGGAGGTCGGAGTAGAGAGGGGGGCACTGGGATGGTCCCCAGAGGAGAGGCGGCGTGCGGGGATAGGCTCAGTGGTCGAATCCTGCTTTCCATAGCTCTGAGTGGAGGCTGGCTCTAGTGACACTGGCTTCTTAGTGCTGCACCTTTTATGCAACTTTCCAGGTGGCCGGGTCTGAAACTCAACACCCAGGTCCCGCCTCTTCCTTCTCAGGCAGCTAAAGCCCTATCATGTTTATTTGCACCCAGATGAATGGAGGGTTAATCTGGTGGAAGTGAGCGCAAATGCAGCTGCAGGTTGGAAAAAACTTTCAAAAAAAGTGTGTGTGTTAAATCCTAACAAATCTATATACAAACAGCAACATTTAAAGGCTTTTAACAGGTCTAATACAGTTTATAAGATTTGAAAACGGAATAAATAGCATTGAAAACAACAAAAATTTTAACTTAGAAGTGAACAAGACTTACAATTATTGAAATGGTAATCGGTTACTGAGTGGTAATCAGATTAGATTGGTGATTACTTTAATTAAATAATGCATCTATGGCTTTAGAATGATGAAAAATTGACAGCTGCTATGTATTTTATAGCCAAATATTATGTTTTGAAGAGTTAAAAGGCCTCAAAATGTCATAGTAGGAAGCTGAAATGTGAAAAATATTTGTTAATGTTTAAGGTTAAAACTCTTAACAACTTTCAATTACAGCAGATTAGCACTTTTCATAGCCCTCAGGTGTATTATGTTGTAATTTAGGCCTATTTACACTGGAAGTCTGTCTCCATTTAAGTCACAGAATGGCGCTAGATTAACGATGGTTTGTAAGGTGTTGCCACAGGTTTTCTCTAATCTTTTCACTGCTGTAAAATAAACAAGTTGCCCCAGGTTAGTCTCTTTACAATACCCCTTACAATAGCCATTTTGGTTTCCCCGCTGAGCAATGCATATTCACGAAGAGGATGTTTTTAACACAACAATAGCTCTAATCGTCGCAATGAAGAAACCAGGTAATTATCCGACCTGGTTATTCTGTTGAACAAATCATTTGGACAAAAGACCCATCTGTCAACTTGGATTACTACTTACACCTTGTCACATGTTGCATTCATTTCTCTGCGTTCTGACTGGATTGAGTTACCAGCAGCAGATTGCCTTACTGTTACGGCCATTATTACATTACGGTGGTGTGAATTTAAGCGGAAAATGATAAGTCACCATGGAGAGGGCCGAGACAATGGGGGGAAGTTGGTTAACGCAATGGGAAAATGTCCAAAAATGTGTGCAGTTATTTACTCTAGGAGAAAACTGAAACAAAAAGTGACAGGGCACAGCTTTAATGTTCATTCGAGTAAAGTAAAGATAAATTTGAATACAAATCAAATACTAATGATTTTCCTCTACAAGAAAAAGTTACAAGGTACAACTTTAATGTTCCCTCAAGTAAAAGTTAAGGTAAAATTTAAAAACAAATCAAATTCTAATGATTAATGCATTAAATACATATGTCCTTCAGTTGTTTTCATATATAACAATTTTCTAGCTTTTTGTTGCTGTTTTTTTAACATATTTATTTAATTTACATGTACACGATGGAGCTTTTCAGGTAAAGGGTCTGCCTGGAAAGTTTAATGCCATACTGTGGAACATACCATCTCCATGAAGACAACCATGTGATGTCACCAGGCCAGGTTACATGTCAGATCTGTGGAGAAACGAGCCCACTCACAGTCAGCTTGCATGTTTTCTGATGTAATTTAATGTCAACAAAAACACCTGTAACTCAGAAATGCAAGTTCTAGTTTAATGTCATACTACGGAACATCTCCATGGAGACAAGCAGGTCAAGCACCTTGCAAAAAAACAATTACACAGCGCAAAATCTATATATAGTTAAAATAGATGTGAAAGTTTTTTTGTTTTGTTTTGTTCTTCAACATCTTCACATCTTAACACACACATCAAAACTTTCTAGGTATTGGAATATGCATCCAAAGTTATTGAAGGCCGTCTAAAACGGTTCCAATTGTCAGCTATCAGCCTGGTCTCTAATTATGTGCAGATAAGAGGGCGACATCATTGGTTGGCCTGTAGCTGCAGTGCCCCCCCCCCCCCCCTCCCTCCTCTGAATAATAGATGGGGGTTAAAGAGGCTGTGGATGCAGGCTCTCCAACCCCCTTGTGGCATTTTTACTCCGATAATGATTCCCTGAAGGACATCTCTGAGGAAGGCCTGCTGCAGCAAAAAAAGCAACACAAATCGCTTCTGGCACAAAACACGATGACTCTGTGCTATTATTAGGAGCTAATATGACTACACTTACAGTACTGGTGTATAGGCGGAAAACATGAAGAGTGCTTAGGCTTTAATAGGTGCCAATTTAGCTCTTGTGTTGTGTCCAACTACATCCATGTGGAAGTTGAACCAATTACCCACTCTGTGCTAGAACTAGTCTCATATTGTCTTGGTACAAAAGTGTATTTTTAAAATCGGTATGGGAACGACTATGACAAAGATCAGTGTACAGCAAAACAGCAAAACAAATGGACATGGAGGGATAGTTGAGGGGTAAATGCATTAAAGGTCCTATATTATGCTGAACTGACTCTTGTGAGCTTTAAGCCATGTTATAATGTTGTTACTTCCTCAAAAACATGCCTGCAGTTGCTCTGTTCCACCTTGTGATGTCATGAAGCAGAAGATGTCAGCTAAATAGTTACCTTTTACCATTTTTTCAGTAGAGATTGGCACTTCCAGGGCTGAAATCATCTAAATCAGTGGTCCCCAAACTTTTTTGTGCCACGAACTGGTTTTATATCAGACAATATTTCAAGGACTGGAGGGGGGTGCGAGTCCTGGCTAAATCCTGTTTTAGTCCTGTTTTAGACCTGGTTTTAGACCAGTTTTATGTCTGTTTTAGACCTGTTTTAGTCCTGGTTTTAGTTCTGGTTTAGAGGTATGGCCATTGTGACTTACAGGAGGAGGGACTGTCCGCATGGCGTATGGGATGGGGGAACATTCTGCACGGTGTACAAGAGGGACGTCTGCGCAACATACAGAAGTACTTGCGGCATATGAGTGGGTGGGGGGTTGGGGGGATTCGCGCTTTTGCGGCCCAGTACCAAACGACCCACGGCCCGGAGGTTGGGGAACCCCTGATTTAATGATTCTAGTGTAGGTGTATGGAGTTTAAAAACAGAGCACTTCCTGTATTACTACATGATGACATCACAAGGTGGAATAGAGTGTTTTGTCTTTGAGAGAAGAACTACACATCTTAAATATATGCAGGGTTTATGTGTTAAACATGTCTGATTTGAAATAAAACACAACTCCAGGTCTGTTTGTGACGGGGAAACAATATCCAAACAACAATATAACATAGATTAGAAAATTGCATAATACTGTATAGGCCTTTTAAACTCATCTATCTCCAAACAAAAAAAATTTGACACCCCCAGGCCATGTTACAGGTTAAATCTGTGGAGAGGAAATACTGCTCACAGTAAAAAAAAAAAAAAGCTTAGTTTGAGCAATAAAAACGCATGCAACTGATAAAATGTTAATATTAAAAAATATTTTTGTATTTTTTCCCCTAAACTATCACCTTATTCTTTGAAACTTCCAAAACATAGAATGGCGTTTACTTACAAAATGGTTAGTGTTTATTTGATGTTTTCACTTGCCTCTTGCATACCTAACTCCTCATTAACCTGCAGTGGCCTCCACCTTCACACATCACCCCAACTGTGCAGAGCTGCTTCTCCTTATTTCCTGGAGCTGTAGGTGTTATCCCTAACTATTGTCATTTATGAAGCGAAGCCCATTAAACAGACTTAAACTGTCAATGTTTGGTTAAGCTAGCAGGAAATGGATGGATTTACATGTAGTGACACAGGAAATAGTCTGAAAATTTGCTGGTAATTTGTTGATTTTACACTGACTCCTACCTACCAAATTATTTCTATGTATCCAGGCTTGGAACAAGTCAAAGGAATACACTGTCTGTCTATTAACTAAGGATCCAGGTTTTTCAGTTCCGATACCGTTTTCGATACTATAGCTTCAAGTAGCTGCTAATAACCGATGTTGACAAAAAACAACAGACTGAAAACAGCATTAATTTACTTTAAACAAAAAGTAAATAAGACAAAACTGATCCAAGCTGTTAATTTATCTCTCATGTAATTACTGAAAAGCTTTGTATGATTAAAAGTTCAAACATTATGAGACTTTCTGGGCCGATTACAACCAGCAAATAGTTGTTGTTTTTTTTGCATCAATTTATACGTCCAACCACTAGGAGTGTGCAAAAATATTGAAATATCGATATATCGTATCGTTTAATGTGATGATGCAGTATCGATATTGTGGGCTGCTGAATCGATAAATCGCCAAGAGGATTTTTTTTTGTATATTTTACTAAATTATTTAGTTACAACGCTACAGTTTTGTTGCTTGCTCAAAGGAAGGAAATTTATTTATGCGACACATTTGACATTTTCACTGTTCTGATGATTAAAATGTTTGTGTTTCATATGAACTTTGCACAAGAAGTGGTTTAACAAACATTTTTAGTATCACAGCCATGATTGAGCCTTTATTTTTTACTGAACAGTATCAAATTGATTTGAAATATATCATATTGAATGAAAAGTGCACTGTATCGAGATATATATCGTATTGTGGCCTATGTATCGAGGTATGTATTGTATCAGCAAATTCTTAATGATACCCAGCCCTAGTTGCTGTATCGATATCACCAAGAGTATTTTTTGGTATATTTTACAAAATTATTTTGTAACAGTGCTACAGTTTTGTTGCTTGTTCAAATGCAACACATTTGACATTTTCACTGTTTTGATGATTAAAATTAGTGTGTTTCATATGAACTTTGCACAAGAAGTTTACCAAAGACTTTTAGTACCACAATCATGATTTTGCCTTTAATTTTTACTGAACCGTATCGAATCGATTTGAAATATATCGTTTCAAATCGTAAGCTCAGTGTATCGAGATATGCATCGTCTCGTGGCCTATGTATCGAGGTATGTATCATATCGGCAAATTTGGACAGATACAGAGTCCTACCAGCCACTGATATCGACTGAAACGATATTTGGAAGCGATATCGGATTCAGTTAATTTTTCATTATCAGTATAAGTGGTATAATTCGGCTAAGAAAAGGCCAACTATTTGACAGAGTTTATTTACACAGAGGATCTTATCAGTCACATGCCTGGATGAACTCTTTGGATTTGTGAAGCTGCATTTTATACACACCACCATATTAAATTAAACCACACGCTGTTTGCAAGATATGTACGGGTATTTGTCATAACAACACAAACTCTACAGCACAAGACGAGGTTTCAAATGAACAAGCCAGAATGCTATTTGCAGAAAGATGCTCGCAGAGTTAGGGTCCTGGATAGATAGGGGATAGAAAAGGCTCCGTTCTAGATATATAGATAGATTTTGGTGCTCCAGCTGTGCACACTATAGAGCCAACACGCTGATAATCTAAAATGCATCCATCAACAGGAGGAGTGCACTGGAAATATAAATAAAGGCCAGTGATGCAGATGCACAGCGCGGTTTTGAATGCACACGGAGAGCTTATCACTTCATCCGGTGTGAAAAGGAATCCCAGGTTTGATTTTGTGGCTGGCAAGTTTATCCAGGCACAGTGAGCGGTCATACGTGAGCTTCATACAGGCTGAGTAGGTGGTATGTAATATAAGATGATGTAGCTTGTGATAGAAATAAGTGGGCCAAACATTTTTTTAAGACCCCATATTACGCTATTTTCTGATCTGTGTTATAATGTTGTTTCCTAACCAAAAACATACATACATGAATGAAGTTGTGTTTTGTTTTATTTACACATATTTAACATGCAAACTCTGCATATTTAGGCTGAGTTCTTCTTTCAAAGACAAAATACAGAAAGCGTTCCACTGTGTTTTTCATGTCTTTTTCCAAAATTTGAAGTTACAGAAGTTAACATATTTACTCCTCAGTAGGGGTGTAACAATGACTGAAATATCGTGATATCGTATCGTCAAAGTTCTCACAATAATATCATGTACCATCACAATATATCAAATTACAAGTCTCTTTGCTTATATTAAGAGTTATGGTGCAGAAGTATCTAAAAAAAAGACAAAGGGAACTACATAGACCATGATCCTTTGCTCCATTTCAGTGCAGACTACATGAAGAAATAACAGTTCTAAGCACTTTTAAGTCTTAGTTCTTTGGATTAAGTCTTGTCAAGGCATTTTAAGAGGAAAAAGTAGCGTATTAACAGCCTCCACAAAATATAATAAATATTGTACCGAGAGATTTGGATTAAGTTACATTCCTAATCATGAGCCTCCCCTCCATATCATGAGCTTTTCCAAGATACTGCAATAAATATCGTACCATGTTGCACCCCTACACCTCAGTGCTCCAGCAAAAATTTAAGAATTCATTAGAGATGAAACGTTAGTACTTAAGTATTGAAGAGTAAAGGCTAAAAACCACTAAATGAAATCACAAGGTGAATTGGAGCATTTTTAGTTTAGGGATGGAGACTGTCTAATCGTCCAGGATTACTCAAACATGTGACAATGAATCAAAAGACAATTCCAGGTATGTTTTTGAGAAGGTAACAACATTATAACATAGATCAGAAAATAGCGTAATATGGGCCCTTT